CATATAGCAATGTGAGTAATACTCATGTTTGGGATGATCACTCTTGTCTTGTACATGTCAAATGAGAACTTCTGGATTTATCCCTACTGCTGTCCAAGTGTGATGCAAAGTTCTCTTCTGTGGCCCTTCTCCATACCTCAGGGAGTATTCTACTTGGTAACTAGGTTAACTTTCCTCTTTGGCTGCCACAGATTCTAATGTGGAAGCCTGTTTCCTTGGGTCCAGCACAATCCCAGGGGAATTTGCAGAAAACACTTGCTCTGTTATTTGTGTTTAATTTGTTGCTATGCAAAGCAAGCTAAGATCTCCTCCTGTTGCCATGATGTTACTCTGGTATACTTTCTATCTCAAGTAAGATATTAAAAATAAACATACAAAAAACCCCCAAAAACCTCAAAGCCCCCACAAAAACACAGCCCACCAAAAAATCACTTAAATCCCAAGTACAGTGTAGGACAAATGTCATGCTGCAGAGAAACACCCATGACAGAAGGAATGGAAAGAATCTGAAGGGACTTTGAGATAATGTAATGAAGGCAGTATGAAATAGAAAAGATGAAAAGCAGCTCCCAAACAAATATGCACAGTCCTTATTTTAAACTGCAAATAAAAACAGATGTTTGAATCTGTGTGTTGGTACAAATCACACAGAAGTAAATTATACAAATGTGCTATAGAACACTAAATGTTGCTTTGAAGGTTGTGTGATGAATGAAGATTAATTGGGCTGCTAACTGTTGGCCTTGGAATTTTACCTGCAGCAGTCAGAGAGTTTAAAGATAAATCAGCAATTATGTAAGTTAGGTCAAACTAGTTTTCATAGAACAATCTGTTTATGCATTGTTTTGCTTGATGTCCTTAGTTGACAACTCTTTTAAGCCCAGTGCCTCTGAACCCAATAAGTCTGCAGGCTGTACAGACTGTGCCATCAAATGGACCAGCACCAGCAGGTAATAAATTCTGCAAATCTTCTCTTTAATTTTCTTGTTAGACCTTAAGGCCTTTACATAATGGCTGTCTGTGACTAGGGACAGCAACAAACATTGACAAAGTCATATTGCTCATGGATTCTGTTACACATCTGTCCATTTTAGCATGTAAAGCAGCTGAATCCATGGCAGATAATGTGCTACTTTCAGGAAGACACAAAAAAACATGAAGTAATCATGCTTTTCATTCTTATTTAAATATGGATGTGTGCACCTGTCTTTATTCTTTAGCTACATCAAAGAACAAGTCACAGTCACCTCATTACTATGAGATAATGGAATTCGATCCCTTGGCTCCCACTGAGTAAGTAACTTTTAAAATTCTGAGGTACCAAAGGCAAAATGGCTTTTTTCTTCTGAGAGGAAAAACAGAGCACTCTACGTAGGCTGAGTTAACTGACCAACTGCATCATTGATGTAAAGGACAGTGGGTGCATTTTTGCATGGTTTCTTCCAATTAACCAATTAAGGAATAAACTGTAGCATCTCATTAACTGGCATCTGTAAAAATGCCAGTTAGCAGGTCAGGGTCCTGCTGGAGGAAGCTGACTGAACTTCAGCACAGGTAGTTCTGAATGAGGTAACCTAAGGAATTTGTTCATAGCAATCATGATTTTTAGAGAATGATTTTCTACTGCATATGAAAAAAATCCTTCATTTAAATATAAACTATGAGGGGGAATGGATGTTGTGTCTCTAAAGAAGGTCAAAATAGTGAGAAACTAATACAAAACCTAACAGATGGCAGAACTCCCCTTTCTAACAGTAATTAGCAAAAAAAAAATATTGAGCTATCTGTACAAAACTTATTTCTAAGGAGTCATATTTTGAGATAGGTAAATCTCAACAAAGCTTCCATTGTTTTTGGTTGTTTTTTTAATTAGTGCAGTAATTGCACTGTGGTGCACTTGTGATTTGTGTTTTGCAGTCCCGTTCCCAAACTTGTTTGATCAAAAGTGGCAATGTCCAGAGGTTCCTCATTAAATGTACAGTCAGACAATCAGAGCAGGGTTGGCTCTTCATTTCCATGGAAACCTGGGCATCCTGCAAGGGAAGCTACACAGTAAACTTTGAATAGCATTTCCCTAGTGCATTTGGTAAAAATGAAATGTGATGTAGGAGTCATCCTGTTCCTTCTGTTTCAGACCTGTTTATGAAGAAATTGATGTTGTGCTGAAGACAAAAGTTAAAAAGAATACAGACTGAAGGTGGAGGTGAACACTCTCTGGTGCTGGTCCTGTGCAGTGCTTCCTGTAACTACAAGTGAATAACAGAAGAGGTTTTGCATTTTGACACAGCAATTAGTGTTGGAGTACTAAGCTCTGTGCAAGTTGAAGAGTTACTTGGCTTTACACCTTGACAATTTGTCCTCAAAGTTCAGCTGTGTGTTCTTCAAGGTCACTTGCATGGATATTTTAATGTATTTTGGGGGCCTGTAAAATGTGACTTCCAAATTCACCTGTGTAGGAAGTAACATTTGACACCAGGCACAAGTAAACAAAAAATACATTACATTCACAGAAACTGCAGAATCCAGTTTCTCCTTCAGCCTCACTGCTATATTCTTCTCCCTAGAAATCTGTAAGGGGGTTTTGAGATATAATTTTTTTTTCTAAAGTTGGCCTCTTGATAGATGTCTGAAGACATTCAGTGTTACATTCTACATCCTTAATACAGATTTTGCTTTATTTTCATCCTAAAAACCCACAGTATAGTTGGATTTTTGTCTTGGGAAGAACCTAAGCTGGGACACAAAGTACTGTCATCCATAATTAACACAACAGGGAAAAAACCTGCTTGTTCCTGTGTTGTTGTTGTTGCTTTTATTTACTCAGTAAATATTGGAGGGGGATCAATTATCTCTTTCAATGTTCCTGTCCTGCAGAGATTGTTCTGGTGAAGGAAGAAATAATCATCTACAATGCAGATGAGCAATAGTTACCTAATTTGTTTTAATTAAGTTGTTTAATCATGTTAACAACTGTTTTCAATCTTTTAATAAGTGCCTTATCTATTTTAATGCTGAATGTAAACTGTGCACTTTAACAGGTATAGTTCTCTGAATTTATAGCTGATACAAAATTTGAGAACTTAGTTCATGTTCACACCAGATAAGCTAACTTTTGGTGAAACAACTGCATTTTAAACATTCCTTATGTTAACTGTTTAAGGGATAAGTTCTCAGCTGCTTTTATAATTTTTGTAGCATAAAATTCCAAATAAAAGCAAATGCTTACTGAGAAGTAAACTTTCATCACTTCCAAGTTTTTCTCTGTGTATTCCCTGAATCATAAATGTAGGTAGCATTGGAAGTATTTTAGTGTGAATCTGTGCAGTTTGCTGCAGGATCATTAAAACAACTTGCTTCTATCCAAAACACAATCTTCAAGTAGTCTGGGAGTTTTGCAAGCTGAGGTGAAAAGGTGAGTTGCTTTACTCACATTTTTCTTGCAGACTTGCAGTGGTCTGGACAGCGGTCTGAAATAACAGCTGAAAATAGGATTGGAGGTGGATTGATTTTTTCATTTTTCCCCTAGAGCTGGGTTTTATTGACAGAACCTCCACAGTGAAAGGTAACAAATCAAACTGGGCTATTCCAGTGTAATCCATAATGGGTGATTGCTGATGTAACCTGTGTTTAAAGCTCCACAATGGTCACAGAGAGATGGAAGGGAATTGCCTAATTACCAAGGTTAGAGCCTGTGTTATAGAGGGAATGTGCTCAGCATCTGTGCAAATTTGGGCTTTCAAACCTCAGGGAGAACACACATTTTTACAGAGTTACTACTTGTCAGGGGGATATTCCTTTTCTTCTAAAGAATGTGGCCAGAATAAAGCAATGTGAGGAGAACTGCCATAATCAATTCAGCTTTCAGAAGGACAATGGACTAAAGACATCTGAGGTACAAAGTTGTTTTTTTTCCCCTAGCCTGGATTCAAAGATTTGTCTTGATGTTATTTTTCTTTTCCTGAAGTATAAAATGCATTAGAGATGAAAGAATGAAAAGTTCTCAGTCTTTAATATGCACTGAAGACCTGAATGTCATCCAGAATCTGTTTAACCAACACAAGTAATTGGTACAATAATGCATTTTAAAGGTAGCATCCATTTATTTTCAAAAAAGCAGTTTTTGACTTATTGTATGCAAATATAATTGAGACTTAAGTAACTGGAAGTTATTTCTCAAGTACCCATTGCTTTTTCAGAGTCCAGGCTAACCAATATCAGCCTTACTTTGTTCATTCTCTTCTGCTGGAAGGGGTAGAAAGACCTGGCCCAGAAGAAGATATACTGCCTGATAGTAATTACTGTCTGAAAATAAGCAGGTTACTTGAACTTGCTCTGCAACTTGTTACTAGTTTGCAAGGCAGTGATGAAGTGTTGTTAGACCTAACCCACAGATAAAAAGCTACATAAATACAGGCTTACATGTTCTGATGGTAGAGAGTCCCCCTGAAGAGCTGCTGCACTGCTGAGCAGGCTGTGGCCAACTCAGCCCCTGAATGGGCCGATTTTGGTTTCTGAGGCAGTGTCTGAGCTGTTCATTCAGCTGCAATTCAGAGCAGTTGTTTATATGCTGCCCTCCCCTCAAGGCATGTCAGACACAAGCCAAGCTTGTCTCCTGTGGAGGTGCCCAGAGTAGAGCCCTCTGCAGAGGCAAAGAGCACTCACTAACAGCCCAGCCACTTCAAATGAGTAGGACACAATGTGGAAATAAGATGGCTTTTCCAAATGGAAACCATCCTACAGATGTGATGTGCTTATGCTTAAATTACTGTTCTCATGATAACAGTTTTAGAGCAGTCTGCTCTTACCAAATGAACTACTGATTCAGTAATAACATGAGAGGGTGCATCACCTTCTGAATCATCATCTCCTCCTGTGCCAGGGAAGGTTACACAGAAATAACACTCTAACTTTGTTTAGTTATGAGATTTCCTTAATTTATTACCTGGGTTTACCTTTTCCTAATGTAACTTAACGTGCAAGTTATTTTCTGGAGCCAGCAATAGAATTTTAGATGTTTAATCAACAGATGTTTTCTTCTGTATTTAAATGAAGAGTTTAATTTACATGTTGGTTTAAAAATTTGCCTTGCAGTATTCAGATAACATCTTACAAAAAGATGGCCTGAGAAAACCCTCTCTTATTTCAGGAACAGTGTGTTCCCTTCCACTCTCTGATGAAGAAACACTATCCCTAAGAAATAGGGAATACATTATCTTGGTTTCCAAAAAATATATATATACATATACTTTCTTAACAGTGTATGCCCATGGAGGTTTAATATAATTTCATACTGCACAGTACTTCTGCAGTTTTTTCTTCCAAGGAAAAATGGCATCAAAACTGGCACTCAGATGTAGCAGAAGTCACATTTTGTAGTTACTGATACCCAGGAAGTGGCAACTTCTGTCCTTCCTTTGCTTCAAAGAAGGTGTAAGAGAGTGTGATCAAATCAACTTTAGCCATTTTAGGGTCCTCTGCAAACTCTGGGTCAATGTAGAAAAAGACAGGCATGTCCACTTCCTCCTGAGGATTTAGCCTCTGTTCTTCAAAACAAAAACACTGCAGGGAGGAAAACAAAAATCCACAATAAGACAACAATAGCGACAATGAGTTTTTATCTGCCAACATGAGAGAAATCTTCATGTTTTAAAATAAACTCTCATTCCCTGTACACCCCTAAAACCCTGGGAAGGATCAATAAGATGAGCAAAAAGACAGCAGCTGTGGCAATACAGGAAAATTCTGCTACTGTGAGGATACAGGAAAATAATTAGCTTTTAATGAAGTGTGTAAAGGTGTCAAGGGGTGGGGCCAGCTCACATCATTCTGCCTGCCTTCAGAAATAACACAGATTTTGGAGCCACTCTGATGGCACGAGCAGCTTGGTGTGAGGGCAGTAAAGCTGGGAATGAATTGATACACTTTCTCATTTGAAAAAAACAAGGTATTTTCGTCAGCACACGAAGAATGGTGTCTAGGATTAAAATGCAATTTATGGGTAACTGTTTTCGTTTGTGTAAAAGAAAATGCAATCTTAGCTTTATTCACACTTACTTGTATTTTATTGAAATATTGTCCTGCTTCAAAGGGGACGACGTTGTAGGTGGAGATCCCAATTATTGGTTTGTCGGTAGGATTTTTTGCTTTATAAAATGCCAGTGCAGTCTCTCCTGGTACCACCTGTGTAACATAATTGTACAGTGATTTTATTTTTTTTTTTTTTTTAATCCACTGCAGCCCTCCACCCCTCAAACCAAGTTCTTTAGACTTTATCTAGAATGAATTTTCTTTTTTGCTGTGTCAAATTGGTTATTCCACAGATATTTTTGATTACATGCAATTCATCCATATTCAAAATTAAAAGCTTCAATACTGTTCTACATATTTTTAATCTGACCCATTTTGCCTGAGTCTTCTATTAGCCTCAGCAGCTCAAAAGCACACAGGGCTTTTTTAATAAGCAGATTTATATATGGTGTGCATTTAATTTCTGAGGTTATTCTTTCAGTACCGGACTCAGAAACTATTAAGCATGACTCCTTATTTTGAGAACTAATTTGAAACAGAACAGTTAATTTGTAATTCTTTTTTAAATATAAAAAAGTTCTTATAAGGATAGGGCAATAGGAGAAACAATACAGGTTTAGATATACTGTTATACTATATATATTTAAGTATATATAAATATATACACACACTTTTACAGTGTATATACCATGTGCATGTGGTGAATATACCATGAAGTGTATACATATATATTGTTTCAATAACTTTGGGGTAGCAGAGGGGCAACTACGCATCATGTCCTGTAAAAAGGACATTGCCATGGGGGAGTATGTCCAGCAAAGCGCAACAAAGCTGGTGAAAGTTCTAGGAAATATGTCTGGGATTGTTTAGTCTCAAGAAGAGGAGGAACATGAGTGCAAGGGGAACATGAGTAGTTCTAGGAACTACTGCCAGGTGCTTGTAGTGCGGTGGGGACCGGGCCCTTAGGCCGTGCCTGCACTCAGAGGACCGGCAGAAATGGCCTCAAGCTGAGGGGATATTCCCATTAGATATTAGAAACATTTTCCGCTGTTGGTGTGGTCAGGCTTTGGGAAGGGCTGCCCAGGGAGGCGGTGGAGTCCCCATGCCTAGCGCTGGGTGCCGTGTTTCAGTGGTTCCAGTGGCAGTGCCGGGAGCGCGGTCGGATCGCAAAGGCCTCTTGGCCCGGCGGCTGTGCGGGGGGAAGGCGGTGACTCACGTAAATCTCGCTCTGCTGCGGTTTGAAGTTCCACTGGATGCTGGCGTGCGTGTCGGCGTTAAAAGTGACCCTGATGCGCCGGTCCCGGACGGGCTCCATGCGCTCGATCCGCTCCGCGTCGCGCTCCGTGCCCGCCGTCCCGCCGAGCCCCGTGGCCTGTCAGGGAAGGGCAGTGAGGGCCCCGCGCCCGCGGAACCGGCGCCGGCCGCGGGCCCCCCGTACCTGGCAGTAGAGGCGGTAGAGCGGCACGGCCGCGTACGACAGCCCCACCATGCCCACGGCCGCCGCCGCGATGTAGCCCACGGCCGAGCGGTTCCGGCGCCGCCACTCCTCCTCCTGCTGCCGGGTGAAGGGGTTGGAGCCCCGCACGCCACGGGTCCCGCAGAGCCCGAGCCGCGGCCCGCGGGCACAGCGCGCCCAGGCCCGCCCGCACAGCGCCATGGCCGCAGCGCGGGGGCTCTCGGGACAGGCGGCCGCGGAATGGGGCGGGAATGGGGCAGGAACGGGGAGGGACGGAGGTGGGAACTGAGCCGGAGTGAAGGAGGGACCGTAGAGGGGGAGGTTGGGCCGAGCCGCCATCGCATCACTGCCCGCCGCGCCCCCTCAGAGCCCGCTGAGCGCGGCGGTCCCGGAGCCGCCCGTGGGTGCCCCCTCCTCGCTTGGGCCTCGCAGGTTGTGTACGAGGTAACTGGAGCAGCCCTCAGGCCGCCGGGGTTCCGCCGCCCTGCTCCCGCACTGAGCGGGCTGTGCCGGACGGGAGCGGCACCGAAAGGCCGGCCAGGAGGGTCACCGGGAGGGGTGGTGTGCCGCAGGTACCCCGCACCGGAGGTACCGGAGGGATGAGCTGGGTCCCGCAGGTATCTGGTTATCCCTCCGGTTCCGCGCTAGCGACCCCAGGTTGGGATCGGGGCTGCTCCGGATGGTCCCTCCGGGGCCGTGCAGTTCCTCCCCTTTTCGACATTTGACACCGGTTGTTTGTTGCTTTTTCTCCCTGGTGCTTTGCTTCACGTTATTTTGGTTTCTAGGTATTTGGTTTTGTTCAGGCACTGGTGCTCACACGCTGCAAAGGTAGCGAGTGCTGTTAATAAACATCAGTAACTTGAGGACAGTCAAAAAGTCAGGCAAGTTCAGAAAGAATCGTTTTACACACGGCTGGTGCCATGCACTCTATTAAAGTGTGCTGTAGCAGTAATTGAATTTACTGTTTTAGAGCTGTGTCTCTTCTGTGGTGGTTCCAGTAAGGTGACTCACACAAGGACTGGCAGCTCCTAGTACTGCTTAATTTTCCATGTTGAATAAGAGAGTAGTAAAGGCTTAGTGTGGTACATATACTGTGATATTTCCCCTGTGTTCAGATGTCTGTTTCTGTGGTCCTTTAGTGAGCAAATCCTGAAAACATTTACTGCAGGAGCATTTGTGGTATTCCAACGTGGATTTAACATCTTTTTCACACGATAAATACAGATACACAGGAATTGGTGTGATTCTGTGGAGGCTGACACTGCACCAGGGGATTCTGCTGTATCTTGGCCAGGGTCTGTGGTGTGACACTGGTGCCAGGAGCACCTGTGCCATCTTTGCCTGTGGGTTGGGAGAGTTTCTTGTCTCTCTTGTCTTGGAAATAATTCCTGTTCTGAGTTCTGGCATGTGAGGGTTCAGCCATGCACCTCACAAAGTCAGGAAGATTTGCTACTACTGATGTAAACAAATATTTTTTTGCTTTAGTGCTTTTGTAGCAGTTTTTGAAATCATTGTAGTTCAGTATATCCAGGCTTGTATTTCCTATCAACCTGTTGTATGTATTAATAAAAACACAATGTGAATTTCTGGGGGTTTGTGCTACACCAGTGGCGTGTAAGCCCATTTTGTGTGTTTTGGCCTGTTCTGCAAACTTCATGTGAGAAGTTCAGAGACACTAAATACCAGAGAGTAAATTAAAAAAGCATGAGAAAACAAGACACACAAAACACCATTCTCTTTCCAAGAAACTTTCAATGAAAAAATATAGATTGTCTTTGATATTATGTTACATTATCCTGGAATTGTAATCTGTTTGTTCATTCTTTAGAAGATTTTAATCACAAGGAATTCAGGTTTACCCTAATTTCTACCTTATAAATTCAGAGGATTTAGGATGTGAAATGTTTTGGTACTACTACAGCAATGTTCAAGTTGCTAACTGTTTTCACCAGTGAATTGTATCCATTTTGTCCTGGCAGTTTTCTTCTTCCAGTTTGATTTCTCCTAGTCAGTAATAAATAAGACTTTTTCCAATGTCTGAAAATAAACATTGCCATGTAAATCTCAGAAAGTGGTTTCTCTTGTTTTTTTTCAGCAGTTTTGACCCTGAGTAGGAGCCTGTTCTTCATGTGTCAGAACTCTTCATTTTGAACTTTTATTTTAATAGTGCTTCTAAGAAGATGTCCAGTCCAGATCCCCTCACAAATACAGAGAAGGAGTAAGTACTTTTTTTCCCTAGATGCAGAAATACAATTACTGGATTATAATATGAAAATTCTTGCAGTTTCCTTGGTAGGATCTTGTCTTGATGAAGTCTTAAAGGACAATAACTTTGATCTTGAAGCAGTCTGTAGATAAGCTAACACCAACACCAGTGAATTTACACATTGAGGGAGGAATTGTCCCTTAAGCTTTTCATCAAGTTAACCAGCACTTAGTTAGGACTAGTTTTGTAGAGATAAAACCCTGCATAGAGATTTCTTAATTTAATGCTTCTGAACTATGAAAACATACTTGTATATAGTAGATTGCTTCTTTGTACATCTGGGGTACCTACAGTAGCATAAGACTGGAACTTTTGTACTACAGTGCATTATTTTTTTTAAATATCTCTATATCTTTAATATTTTATATGTAGTACTTAGGAACCATCATATTTTTATCAATGGCATGGGATATAAAATAATTATGTTCCTTCTATAAAACATAATCTTATCCACTTAAGAGTTTGATCAGATTCTAAATGTCAAACATGGATTCAGTCATGATTGAAAAGTGTAACTCCAGTCCCTTTCCAAACAGCCAAATAACCAAACCAATGCTGTCATCAAAACCAGAATTAAAACCAGGCACAGGCAGCTCTTGCTCTATTTACCATGTTTGCTGTACTTGTGCATCAAGTAAGCATCAAATCCAGCAAAGAGTATTCAGAAGAATAATAAAATAATTTATTTAGAATTATGCCACCTCATAAATAACGTGATTGTTTTGAAAAGCAAAACCACAAAACATTAAAAATGCTAACTTGCTTCTTACTGGGACCTGAAGAAGCCAAAGCTCTGCTTGTCTGATTGAAATTCAGGGTATGCAATCACAAAGATACATCTTTCAGACAGCTGTGTCTTGCTAGTCTCATGAAGGATGAGTAGTTTACATGAGTAGTTCTTAGCTCACTGTATTCTAAAGGCAGTTTTTCACATTAGAGAAGGGCAAGAAAGGCACCTAAAACTGCACTTCAGCTGCATGGTGGCAGGTTGTAATTTTCTGTACTTTTATTTTTTATGGGAGATGGTATCGATGCTTCCAGTAATGGAATTGATTATATTAAGGTTTACCTAAACTTTAAATCATACCTTTCTTCTCTCTGCATGGGTTAGCCTCAAACCATTCATGCTTTTCCACAATTACAATGTTGCCCAAGCTTTTTTCAGGCTTAACAGTTGCCATATAATGACAGATGTTTTCTTTTAATCTTTATAACCTAATCAGCAGAGTGTATTTTGAATAATGAGTGGGTTTGGATGGATCACATTGAGTGCTCATCTGTGCTATATGACACAGTGTTCCTTTGCCTGCAGTCCTTAAAATCTGAATTTAGGGTTAGTGAAGCTGAAAGGCTACAGTTGCATAATGGATTTGTATCGGACTTTCGTAAAAGGGCTTTGGTTTATTTATAACAAAAAAGATCATGTGAATTGAACTTCCATTGATTCTGCAGATCTTTTTGTCAGGTGCTAAATTATCCTGTGTCCATCTCAGCTGCTGAAGCACTGCAAAACTTCTCTTGGGAAAGGCAAGTTATAATTACAAATGTTGCCAGAATGGAGTAGTTTTCCATCTGTTTGGAAAGGAAGGCTATTTAACAACAAATGATATCTCTTGAAAATTTAGTCTTACTTATTTAGACTAAAATTCATGGAGTTTTGAGTTAAAATTTTCCTAGATCTTTCTGGAAGTAAAAAGTAATTTGTGTTCCTCTGAGCATGTTCTTGAAAGGCAGAGGACTTGCAAGAGAAGCAATGATGCTGCCATTCATTAAAAGTAGCACAGCAACAGCGTTTGAAGATGAAGAGGGATAGAAGCCTTGGGGCTGAGTTCAGGAAGCTGAACGAAGCACAGTTTGCTTTGAAAGGGCTGGAGGAGCAATTTTCTGAACAAGTGATGTATTACAGGTAACGCTAATAAAATGAGAGCAATAAGCCTAATACTACTTTATATCTGCTTAATTGTTCAGAAGTTTGTCATGTCTGGTTTAAAAAAAATAACTTTTTGCTTTTTAACAAGGAAATTGCAGAGCCTTGAGCCATGTGTTAATTAGAGGGTTTCTATAGCAGAAAATGTGACACTAGCTGGTCTGGGTGATGTATTTTGACAAATGCTCCTGATATTGATACCACTAATTGATCTTCACTGGTGTTAAGAACAGAGATAGTTTTGTTGGAGAAAGTCTATTGGTATTTTATGTAACCTTGCCTAGAGCACATCTATTTGATACGAGGCTTAAAATATCAATGGCTTTTCTGTAATGCCTGTAACACCAGCAGAGTGAGCTGACTGAGAAACAGCTATGAAGGGGCAAATTTTCATCTCTTAACGGATGTGATCACTGTGCCAGTGAGGCTTTTCACAATTTGGGAGCTGGGAAGGCTGCTTTATGTTCCCATTTCCATCTCTGATGTGCTCCTTACTCTGTAGTGGGTCACTCTGCCCCTTCTGTGTGTGCATTGCAGGCTCTCAGGACTAACCACTCTCTATGTGAACACTGTTCAGCACGTTGTCTCTCAACAAAGGGATCCTTTCCCAAAAAGGATTATTTGCTATTGGAACCACAGTCACTGTAGCTTTAAAAAAAAAAAAGGTGCCTGAGATAAGTGTTTGCATTCCTGGCTTAGCCAAGCCCTCCTGCTGCACCTCCAGATCTGACAGTCTGATCACAGGGTTGCTCCTGGCTAGAAAGGATTCACCTTTCTACTTAAAGCCCTCAGTGAATGCAGGGTAGCTGGCTTTCATTTCATGCTGCAGTCTTGTTATGATCTCTTGGGAAAGGGGGAGCAGTAGGGGTACTTCTTCTGAGGCAAACCTGGAAGGAAACTTTCATTAACTAAACTGGTGTCAACACTCAGAACTTCTGAAAATGTGCATATCTCTGCAAGACTAAGTCTTCTATCACAGGGTCTGACCTCTGGGAACAGGGGTGATGTGTTTGACTTCTTCAACTAGATTATTCTCTGTGTAATGACATAAATTTGGCAGTTTTATTTCCTTTCACAGAAAAGCACATGTCAGTTTCCATTTCTAGAGGAAATACATAACCCAAGTTCTGTGTTGACTTTTGACTGTTGTATCTTGAAAGTGTAAAAACCAAGTTAGATCATGGCACAAGCCAGTAATATGATTGAGAATGAAAAGTAATAGCATAATGGCATTCATTTCATTAATACTTTCAGTCTGTTTTCTTGGCTTTCCCTTTTGTGTGACTGTGCATAATCCAGTCTGCTAGGAAGATTGCTTTAGAAAGGTCATGAGTTACTGCTTCTGACCTTGTTTGCAGGGATCATTCAAATAAATTATTAGAACAGGAGGAAATAAGTTTCTTTTAATCATCACATTTGCCTTTGGCAGCTGGATCTGGCTTGCTTAATCATAATGTAGTAAACTTTCCCCTTTGCATTTATCAGTCTTTAAAATTGTTGTAAATGGCCATTTCAAAGAGAGAAAAAGTAAGCATTACCTCTCTAGGTGAATTAGTGCATGTGACGCAGAGGATTTCAGAGAAGATTAAGTAGGCAGAGACGCTCAGCTGGAGCTCTGTTGTTTGGGTTTTTTAGTTGGTAGCAGAAATCATCCTGCTCATAACCTTTATCCGGCTGAACTGGAAACCTCCAGTGTGTTTTGCTTGCGTTGTCCTTGTTTTTCCTGCTGTGCTGAAGGATGTCCTTGCTTTCTCCAGGGGCTGAAGATGAACCAGAGCGTTTTGATGGTCTCTCTCTATTATACTGGTATGCTCAACCATTCAGTTCTGAGGGCATTGCTCTAGTCTGTAATTGTGCAACGTACAGGAAAGATAATTTAAAAGCTGTGGGCATTTTCAGCTTCTTTTCATCAACAGACAGAGTTTATAATTTAGATTTTTGTGTGTCAGGTAATATGTGTTTTGTGAGCAAAGTGTATTATTCTCCCATTGATAAACATAGTTAAATATTTTGTTTGTGCATATAAATTATTAATCATTTCTCAGGAATAGAGATCAGAAGAATATCTGGAGCTGTATGTTCTGATAAGCACTGATAAGTACCAAAAGATAAAACCCAAAGTTGTTGAACTTCCTTGTGTATGCTGCTAAAAAGTAATAGAAGCAGATTTATTTTAATTTCCCTTACTAGAGCATCTACACCAGAATGTTGCACACTTAAGTCTGTTAGCATCCAGACTTCAGCTGGAGTATTGAGTTTAGTATTTTTTCATGTAAAAAGATTATAGCATAGTGAGTTTGGTGAGTTTTGCTTGTTTATTTCATCTCTTGCCTTACATCTTCTCTACATGCTAAAACCTTGCTGACCTCAAAAAATAATTAGCAACATCTGATTATTTAATTTGCATCTTTTTCTGCAAAGAACATTAAATTATTTTTTGTTAATACTGCCAACTGGTTTAGGAGTTTATTTCCTTATTTATACTGTTGAGCATGTTTCTAATGCTCTAGGAGAAATACTCTAACATTTCAAGAATATTGAAAGTGGTGACATAAAATAAATGTTGAATGGGTGCTGAATCCAAGTCATTTTACAGTGAAATTGTTAAAGCTCTCTTTATTTTATTAGAACTATGACAAGTAGCATAACTTGAAGATCTAAGTTATATTAGATAAAAACCCTAATACTGAAAGTCAGCTAGATGTGATATACTAAACAAATTCGGGGCATTTGAAAATCTTTGTCTTTACTTTTATGTGATAAAGTAATTTTTAACTGCATGTATTGGAGGGATTTAGTCTTTAGATCATAAACAGACCTGAGTACCTTGTAAAAGCCGTCTGTCCAAAGTGTCAGTTCTTTCTAATTGTAGGTAGCAGCATCACAATTCCAGTGTTTCAGAGATATCTTATTCCTCTCCACTGTACATTATTAGTTGTGTGTTCTCTGTATCCTCTTTGTCATAGGATCATTAGGATCTCTCTTTAGAAAGTATTGCTGGTTACTTTTGAAAATGTCCTGTTCTTAGATTTGATCATATTTCAGGATTGTTTTATATGATAATACCTAAAGATGTTCTACAATTTCTGCTGAACTCTAAACTTCAGACTTAAAGTCTGATATTTGATCTTTTCAGACTTGAAGAAAGTAAAATCTCTGTGTTGGTTTGTGCAAGGTTGAAGTAACTTTTGTTCCTGCTTTTTAATTTTAACAAAAAAATTACCACGTGAAAACAGCTGAGAGGAAGTGGCCGAGTAAAACCAATAGCAGTAGCAGCAAAAGGCAAGAGAGAAAAAAATAGAATAATTGCTTGTTTTAAAGTTCAGTGTACTTCATTTAAGATTTCAGAGATGGAGACAAGTCGGGACAAAGCATGATTAGTATGCTGTCCTTCAGCCTCAAAACAAATTGTGGGATAATTGCAGTGACAGTGCTGGGTAGTAATACAAAATACTCTGTCCTTCTCATGGAGTAGGAGGTTGTCCAAAGGGTGTTCTTAAAGAAATATCAGCCTTGGGGATTTTTTCTTCCTGTCAGGCTGTGATTAAGTGAAAGCAGTGGAAAAAAAAGTTCACTTTTACCTTTACAAAGGGTACGTTATGCTCTGACATATCACAGCAAGGTCGTGTGCAGTCCTGTCAAACACACACCAAATACACTGGGTCTTATTATTTCTCTTTAGCCTGTGAAACAAATACTTCAAGAGATATTACAGTGAAAATTATACAGTGCTTTAAGCATGGGTTTATTTTTTGTTTCTAAAGGTTATTAGAAGTATTAGGTCTCTCCTTGTGGCCAGCCTTTCTAAACCAAAGGCTAATTTCGCAAATACTTGGAAATACGAGGTTTTGGGAAATCATTGCTTTTCAGAGCTAGTGCTTGTTCCTTGATAAAAAAACCTCATCCAGTTTTCTTCTACAAAAACAAAAGAGCTGCAGGTGTTCTTTAGAAGTCGGGTCTCAGGGCTAGTCCTAGAATTTTAAGAACATTTGGTCCTTCTGGATTTCTCTCTTCCTTCTGGCACAGCACCTTTTAATGATGTTCTCTGGCTTTTGCAGATGTACCCAGTTTCAGGCTTGGAGTTCAGGCTGTGCTGGATTAGGTTGTGTGGAAGGATTTGGGTCATTGTGTCCTCCACTTTTATCTTCTCTCCCACCCTGCTAATGAATTCTTGTTGTTCCATTTCACTAGGACCCTCCAGAAAATGCAACTCTCTATCTAATGTAGAACAAACAATATGTAGGTCAAAGCAAAGAAACCTCAGTCGTGCTTCTGCTCTTTTCTAGAAGAGATCTGTCAAGTCTTCTCCAAAAATGGGGCAGGGAAAGGACAGAGGAGCTATAATACAACTTACATTTTTTTGCCCATAAGTCATCTAAATGAAAATAAAACCTGGTAAAGGGTAATCTGGATTTACTTACATTCTTAACACTCTGCATTCTCAGAGCAGCATCCTGGTCATAAGTGTGATGAAACTGTTAATTTAGGTTCCAAAACTCTAATTTTACTTTGTATTCTTTTTTAATTCTGTTGGAGGATCAACTGCTTTCAAAATATTCCTCTGCCTTTAGACGATTCCAAGTGTTATCCTGGTGCTTTCCCTTGGGATGGGAAGGTACACAGAGGATCAGGCAAAAGAGTTTGTAAAGAAGCCTTTTTTACAACAGAGAAAGAGATCAAAGTTGAGTGAAGAAATTAGGGGATTTTTGGAAAATATTGTGTTCATAAATAGCCACAAAATTATATTTTAGATATCTTAGGAAATAATTTTATGCATTGGCTCAGCTGTGCTTTTGTTCAAATATTCATTACCTGATGAAGACTGGTTTTATGGTATGTTTTTCTTGCCTAAATGTTAAGGTGGATCAGATTGTGTAATTTTGTTAATATTTAATCACAACCCTTTTATTACACAAAATGGGATTCACAGTTCAGCCTGAAAAGCTTTGGGGGAAAAGGAAGTAAAGTGTATATCTATTATACCTCTCCATCTGATATTTGTGATGAGTAGATTGATTTTTGGCTGAGGAGATGATGGCTCAGAGATATCAAACGATATGAAGTTGCCAATGGAGAAAACTGATTTGGGTTTACTTGAGTTGAAAATACAGTTGCTGTAATTTCTTTTCTGTCAACATAGCTCTATGTACACTTCTGTAATTTAATGATTTTTGTTTTATTCCTTAGGACCATTATGGGCCCTCATGGAATTAATCGAGCTGTTCACCGCATCTCTTTCTCTGATTGCCAGAATGGATTAGGTAACTAAGACATTCTGTTATTCTGACTAAATCAAACCTAAAAACACTTGGTGAGCTTTGCCAAATCATATTTGGCATCAGGAAGGTTTATTTGGCTTTCATGGATTTGCATGCAAGTACATTTAGCACAGTAGGTGGAATAACCAAATTTTCACTTTTATCTTTTTGTTTGTTGTTCAGGAGTTAAAATTATTGGAGGCTATCGGGCACAAACAGCAGAAGATTATGGGATTTTCATAAAGAGAATTCTACCTGGAGGGGTTGCTGCTGTAGATAGTAAGTGTTTTTAACTTTTTTGGCCACAAACACGCTGGATATAAAAAGCTGTCAAAAGAAGTCTTTATTTTACTTTGTAGGTAAGGATATTTAAAATAGTACGGTTTAGTGAGGACCTATGAAGTTTTGGCTTACTTTAAGATAAAGAAATGAAATTTGGACCCTTTATGGAAAAAGATTTTAATACTCTCAGGTCTTGAAAATGTGTTCAAATCTACATATGGCTGGTGAAGGAAATTGGTAATCTTTCAGCACTGAGTAAGTGCTCAGATGCTGAACCACTTTTAATTTGTAAGGTATAAGAGTGGGGTTTCCTGTACAGAACTAGTATTTTTAATTAGTTCTGAAAATTTTTATTACTATTTTTTAATAGTAGTGGTGTGCTGGTGGTTAAGATCAGTGTGGTAAGAAGAAATTACACTCAGTAGAGTTTGCAATAATTAAGCTACAGACTTCCATCCTAGGTCTCTGGGGTTTTTTGAGATTCCATTTTGTTTTGTTCAAAATGATAATTTAAAGTAATCTTAATCAACTTCAAGTTCATAAACTTGAGATTTTCGGGGAGTTAAAAAATAGAATTGTCTCTAAAAAATCTTTTAGCTGACTTTATTAATGTCTAAAACATTAATATATCTACACATTGTAACTTACAATAATGTTAAGAGCAAGATTCAAATAAAAATTAGTTCCACAACTGTGAAATATAAATTCTAGTCTCAAAATGATGTGTGTAAATACAACAAATAGATAAATGACAGTTATTTTCAGTGTCTATTCTGTTGTTAATAAGACTGATTTCTAGTTTCTAGTCTTATCTCCATTACCTGTCTTACTTAGGATCAGGTGCCAAGAGTCATAAAGTTGTTTAATGCATTAAGTGACATAAAATTGAAAGGAAAAGTCCTGGTTAAATACCTGGTTTAATATAATATGTTCACCATTTTCATGTTGATTCATCAATCACTGTTGGTTTCATTTAAAGGCCGTTTGCTCACTGGGGACCTAATTTTAGATGTCAATGGAGAAAACTTGGTTGGAGTAACAAATGAAAGGTATGTTTGTACTGATTACTGAATGTTTATTAGAGCTTGGAATGTTATACATGCATTATTCCAGACATTATCAGTGACTGATTGAAAGAACACAACTGCCCCAAGATCCTTGGAGTTCAACTCACAAGTAATTTATCCTATAAATCTAATTCAGAAAACTGCTGTGGAAAAGTGAAGGGCTTATAGAAGCAGAACACCAGAATCCATTGGTTTCTTAATCACAGATTACAGAATGTGTGTGAAAACAGCAGCAGAAGCTGTTAAAATATAACTATCTGCTGGTTCAGTACTGGTGAATGTAAATGATGGCAGCAATCATATAATGGCACAATGAAGGGGAAAAGAGTAAGCTGTAGATGGTTTCTGTAGCTGGATCTGTAGAGATCAGTGCAGCTTTCAGTGCTGGAGATGGAGATTGAATGTTCAAAGGAAAATTGCCATTTGTGTTGCTGAGGGAGATTCTGAGCCAGGCACACCTGAGCAGTAGCTTTTGTTGAGGTGGGCTGTAAATCCTGAAAGAGGCTCAGAAAGGCAGCAGGATGGCCCAAGGAGGGATGGGGGACAGAAGGGAAGGGAAAGAGGGGTCAGTCCCAGTTTATTGCTGTCAGCAGATGCACCACAGTCTGTCTCTTGCTCCCTTCCCCGGTGCTCACTTTAAGTTTTGCTGCTGCCAAGCTCTGTTCTCTGTATCTGGCCATGAAAATTATTAACTACCTTAGCAATTTGTCCATTTTCCTTCTCTTTTAGCACTGCTCAGTTCTTGCCAGCACCCTGGTATATTTATTTGGCCTTTTTCTTCCCCCTTCTAGGGCTGTTGACATCCTGAGAACAGCCTCAGCCTCTAATCACATGTCTCTGCTCATTGCTAGAGATGAAGAAGCAAAGTAAGAGAAAAATTATTTTAACCTTAAAACTGATAAAAATCCAGTGCTGTATCTCAGAGTGACTGGGTGGGCTTGCATGTATTTTTATTTTAGATTAGTTTTAATTGCAGAATTGTACCACATGTCACATTTTTCTGTGTAATACTTGATACTAGTTCATTCTGAAATCACTTGCATCAATCACTTCAAGTAGCAAGCTCAGGCCAACTTCAGTTTAAAGAGGAGGATTGTAATGTTATGTTTACAGCTAATACCATTAAAAATTACCTGCTGTGATAGTTTTTGAAATGCTTCTCACATTTTAAAATAATGAAAATGAGGGCTCTGTTAGAGCTACCACAAAACCATAAGATATAAACTGGTCTTGCCTTCTGACAAAAGGCAGATTCTGTTGTTTTTTCCCCTCAGAAGTTTGCTTTTCAATCTCTAATGAGCTTTGAATAGTTTGAATAAGTAGGTTAAACTGTTTACTGCAGCAAGTAGTCCAAAATATATTCATTTTAAGGACATTTGTGTTAAATATTGCTTTAACCTGACTGTTGAAAGTTAAGCATATAAACCAATATTGGCAGGGAATCATCAGCAATGTGACAATCCAGGTCTGTATCCCCTTTTGACTTAAATCTCAGGAGAAAACAGCTGTTATGTAACTATTTTTGATAATCATTGCTAGAGTATCTGCTGTTATTTGCCTTTCATGGGATGTTCCACTTCCAGAGTAATCTCCCCATAAAGGATTTTTCTCTAAATTCCTTTAGCCTTTTGTCCGAGTTAAGCTTCCTCTTTCTGTTCCTTTATTTTTTTGTATTCGACAGACATCTAAATCACTCTGTAGCCTCTGATCTCTCCTTTTTTCAGACTGCCTACATATATGAGGTCCCCTCTTAATCTGCTTTTATCTAAAGCATACTGGCCTAGTTCCTGTAAACTCCTTGAATAATTAAAATCCATTGGTCCTTTAACCACTCCGGGGTAGAAGTGCAATGGCCTGGGCAGAATTTACCACTCTGCAGTCCCTCACCAACCTCCTCTGAATTAATTTCTTGTGACTTTACATTCTGTGCTTAAAGATTATTTGGTTTACATTCAGCTGTGATTTGTGTGTGTACCCTGGGGCCAGCATTAGTACAATAAATGTTGTTCTTTTTTAAAAAATAATGCACCCAGCATTTTTGGAAAAACCTTCAGAAGTCGAACAACCTGGGAGTTACTCTCCTTTCAATCAGTTAATTTCTTTTCTCTCTGACTAATTCTGTAATATTAATTTGGTGATGTTTCTGGCTTACATCACTATGGATTATTTATATTTTTTAAGTCAGTTACCACTGAGGTATTCAGAGCTCAGATTATCAGCTTTTTTGCTTAAATGAGGCTGGATTCAATATCAGATGGATCAAGTGTTTTTGTATTCTCTTCGATGCCTGGCACACAAGATGTGCATCTTTGCCAGGCTGTTACAGTATGATTGGTGTATTGGTGTCTACAAGGAACTTCTGCTTTTGGCTTTTAGTAGTAAATAAATATTTCTTCAATCCTCTTCTTTTTAAGGAGCCACATCTTTGTCATTCTCTTCTGGGTTCTTGTTCAGTGTAATTGAACTAAAAGCATTCTTTAAAAACATGAGTATGCTATAAGTGTATAATCTGATTCTCTCTAATATAAATAAATAGTTCTGGAGCTTGGTAGTACCACTGTATCCGTAGTTTTTATTATTAATAAATTATTATTTTATTATCTGTAGTTGATTGTATGACAAGTTTTTAAAGTTTTGAAATGCAGGGTAAAGAGAGGTAAAAATAAAGTTTTTACCAACAGTCCATTTCATCCATAGTCTGTTTTCTCATCTTTATCATGCATTACATGATATATTTTTTTGCCCTTTCTGACCATTTGACAGGGCTTTCCTCTTTCAGTGGAGGTTGAGCTTCCTTCTCTGAGGATGAGCAGCTGTTCAGTACAAGCAGTGCTGGTCTCACAGTTTCAAACTAACACCAAATCCTGACAAAATCTTTTTATTGGCACAGGAAAGAATTCCATGACCTGATGGATAAGTATGGCTCTCACAGTGACACCAGCTCTGCAAGAGCTTCTCCGACACATCAGTTAGCTGGTGAGAGATCACTTCCCAGCCTGAAATAATCCTGGGGGAGAAAAATCAGCCTTGGGTGGAGTAGAAACTTGTACTTAAAATTCCTTATTTGAGAGGAGGTGTATTGGAGGAAGTGGCTCACAGTCAGACAAAACACATATGTACCTTGAGGAATTCGTGTGTCAGTTTCCCCAGCTCTTAAAATAAATATACTGATATCTACTTAAAATTTTAATTAATGATTTATGTAAAAAGTTTTTGGTATTTGTAGCTGAAATGTGCCACAAAATGCTAGAAAAAATTTGATCTAGAGCACTATAAATTCTAATCTTTCTGCTGCTTAATTAACGTGCTTTTGTAGAGCATAGGGGATTAGTCAGTTTCATATTTTGCACACAATTTGAAAAAAATAATCACTTGTTATGATTTAAAAAATTATTCCTGGAACCCTGAGTGGCTCTCAGTTCTTAACTGTGTAGGTTTTTTTGAACTTACTTATGTGAGCTAAAATTTTTTGCTTTTTCCCAAATGTGGCTTTTATTTATTTATTTGTTTTTATTGTTATTTCTTTTTTTTGAAGCAAAATCTATAGACAGCCTTTCTTCTGGGTCATCCTCAAGGTCACAGAGTCCTCAGCTGCATCTGAAGGATAACATCACCACCAGCAGCAGCAGAAATAATTCTGTCCCACCACCATCCCCAAAGCTTCCAAAGTAATCTCCAAAACTGACTGTACCTCTGTTGTGGGAGCTGCAGGAAATGCTGTATTTGGCTGGTCAAGAAAATTTGGGTTGAGCACTATGTGTTAAAGTTTGGTTTTGTTTTTTAACTTCTAGTCCTGTAGCTCATAATGCCATCAACATTGCAGACTTTTAATTTTAATAAGTTATTTTTCTATTTATTTATTGTTTATGTTTATTTATTGTTTATGTGGTAGAAGAAGATTAATCAGGTTATTTTTTTAGTGTTTCCTAATGAATTAATGTTCCTGGTTTATGTGTACCCAGATACTCCCATAAGCCTTGGGATATAGTATATGTCTCTATATAGTAGAGAGGAGTTTTTAGCCTTGTAAAATAGAGTATTCAATTTTTTTGTAATTGTCAGAAGTGCCTGAGGTTGCTGAGTTTAAGTAGTGTAATATTTGAACACTGAGATTAAATGTCCACTATTTCTATTTGTTACTGTAATACATATTTACAAAACCTGTAAGATAAAGACAAGTTATTGTTTCAGTCTTTATTATCTAGTTCTGTGAAGTAATTCTACTTTTCTTTCTCTTTGTGTCTCTAGTGACAGTGCATTTCAGATTATCTCTGTTTGCAAAGAAGCAAGCCTAGGTTTGAATATTGTAGGAGGAATTAACAGAAATGAAGGGCCTTTGGTATACATTCAAGAAATTATCCCAGGTGGTGATTGCCATAAGGTAAAGGCCTTTTTTCCCTTCCTTCCCCTTCAGACACCTTTTTTTTATCTTAATTTTGTACTTGCTTTTGTATGCTACATGTGCAGTCATTTTTCAAATACAAAATGCTTTTGTGTTGCTCCTTGCCTTCTGTTTTAACAGAATTATCTCACTGCACTGTAACAGTTACAATGTATTTAAAATTTATCCATAAGTTCATTTGAGGTAAATGAGGATCTTTTTCCTCAGTTTATGTATGAGAAGGTACAAAACCAACTTCTATAGAAGATTGCATGATGCAAGGTAAATTAGGAAGGATGGGACAGAGCTACAGATTGCACCTCTTATTCATTTTCTTGTACATTCAGAAAATCATATTTCCCTGACACTTAATTTAGATGGATCCTTGCAATTGGAAATCATTGTGTAGGCAAGTTAGAAAAAAATATTCTGAAAGTGCAGACTAATAAAATATATGAATTGGTGTTGATCACTCTTAATTTCTGACAAATGCAAGATGTAAATCAGGGGGATTTGTCAGCATAAGAAGTAAAAAATAATATAATTGCTTGGTTCAGGTACACAGAACTGTTTACCCAGTGTCTCTTCTGGCATCCTGAGTAATTATGTTTATTTGGAAGTGTAGATAACCAGCCTTTGCCTCTGGCCCAGCAAAAGAGGACAAGCTCAATTCATGAGCAGTAAATTTTATCCCCAAGCAGTTTATAACTATTTGTTACTGAAATTTTATAGACTAAGTTTAATCCTAAAATGCAAGCTAGAAGATAAAAATGCAATGTTTCTCCAAGACATCAATTTCCAGTAGGCTCTAATATTAGCAATAATAGAGGTAATTCCACAATCCTGGTTATCCTGTTTGGGAAGGTGAAGTAATAAGCATATTTTAAACGTCTGCCACATGAGGGCACCATTGAAATGGATATCTTAGAACATGCTGGATGAATGCAAAATAAAAGGTTTGCAATTTTATTCTCTAACCAAAACACTAAGTGACAAAAAAAAAAAAAGGCAGTAAAGTTCTGGCATGGGTTTGACACAACACAGCTAAAATTATGGTATGTGTGTGTTAAGTAAGTAAAATTATACTAGTCTTGAGAAGGTATTTTACTTATTTCCTGTGTATTATCTTCTGCACACATTTTTTTTTAACATTGATTTTGTATTTGATTTCTTAGGAGCTGAGAAGCAGAGACATATTCTGTGTAATTTGATGTGTATTACATTAGACAAATGTCATAAATAACTCTGTAAGCATAGGTGAATTGCATGAATTTCCAGTTAAATTGTTGAGGGCTCTGTTAAAATGTGGGTAAAGAAAGCTCTGTCTTAGTGAGAAATCTATCCTACCATGTTTAAAGCCTTGTCTTAGAGTCTCTGGGACAGAAATGTGAGATGTTCTTGTGCTGATAGAGAGTTTTTTACAATTAATTCAACAGAAGCACAAAGTTGACAAGATTATTTCTGTCATGGTTTTGACTAGTGAGTACTAATAGACCAATCTGGTTTTCTCATTAACATGGCCAGTGAGTGTCTGAAGAGTTCCATGTATTGCCATGAACATTTCCTTTTGAAATACAAATTAATCCAGCTCTGAACTGAATTAATTAGTAAAGAAGCTTCCTAAAGTCAGATGGGTTGGTGCTGGAAAAGTCTGTTGGTTTTTTTGTCTTTTTTTTTTTTTTTTTTTAACTGAAGTGTTTATCTGGGTCCAAAGTTGTTCTTTATATAATTTCTGATGTCTATTTTCTCTGATGAGTTTTTATAACGATTCTTGATATTTCTTATTCTTATAGAACCAGTGGAACGTGTCCAAGTGCTGTGATTATACAGTTCTTTCTGTAGTGTTAGCAATTAATATAAAATTTGTGGGTTTGGTTTTATATTTGTTGTTTTAGGATGGACGATTGAAGCCTGGGGATCAGCTTGTGTCCATCAACAAAGAGTCCATGATTGGAGTCTCCTATGAAGAGGCAAAAAGTATAATCAACAGAACAAAGATGAGGTATCTGTTGTCAAACAGCCAACCACCCAAAATTGTTTAATAGATGATATTTATGATCAGATTAATGTGAAAAGTGTTTTTGTGTGCTTAGAGGAAATGAGAGATACTAATTATTTTAAATACTCAGTTGTAATATTATTTCATAGAAAAGATTCAAGTGCACCTTTTAGAACTGCAGAATTATGATACTTTAATGTTTAAATAAAAAATTATGGTGTTTGTCTTTGTAATGATGGGTAACAGAACATCCTTTTAGAAAAATAGTTAAATAAACCCACACATGGTGTTTGGAAACATGTAATTTTTGCAGAAGTATAAATTCTATGAATAATATAAGTATGCAATATGTTGAAACTTTTAAAATTTTAGTTCTAGGTTTGAAAATTTTTGGGAGATAGCTTTTATTAGGCAGAAAAACATACCCAGTCATCCAAAGAATCTGCAGCATCCTTTCAGCCTCTTAACATCTTCTGTAGCACATGGAGAGCAACAGGCTGCAGCACTTGGTCCTCTTCCCTCTCCTAATGGGAGGCTGGTTTCAACATTCCCTCCAGATGCTGTGAGTGTACTTATTACTCTTCTTAGAACAAACTGAGCAAGTGGTTGTTTTCCTTTTAATTGTAATTGAGTTTCCATTTTAGTAAGAAAATGACTGTCTGTTTTCCTGCACAATATTGTCTTTGGAATATCAAAACTCTTGGAAAAACCATGTTGTATAACAGGAGAGTAAATCACACTGATGAGAGGAATTAGTTGACTTGGGGTAAGAAAACAAATTAAATAAGCATTAACTGTGTTTTTAGATACCAAGTTCTCCTTTACTGTTTCTTTGAAGTTTTGGAATTAGACATAAATAGTTACATATTTAAGAGATAAAATACTCCCTGTTTACTACATATGTACAGTACAATCTCACACTTGTTGTGTGATGATGAGATTTTTGCTTAAAAAAAGTCCTAGAAGTATGTGGGGGTTTTCCCCTTTCTTTTGTCTAAGCAGCAATTGTTTTAATTCATACAGTTCACCACTAGTGTAAAGAAATAATGTTGACCACGAGAAAGAAGATTTTAAAATTAATATTTCAATTTTTTGAAAGAACATTTTCAGTTTATCGTATTTTTAAAGCTAAGTATTGCCTTAGAAGAAGGAATAATAAAATGTTCTCAAACACAAAGTCAAAACAGGTGATTCTCACATCTTATATTTGTACTTAAAATTCTTGCCCATTTTTCTTTCCTATTAGGGATATAAACATTGATGTGGGTTGCCTAGAGAAACTGTGCTATCTTAATCTGTGAAGATTTTCAAAACCCAAGGTTTTGATGAGTCCCTGATCTGATTTTTTTCAATGCTCTTCCCTCTCACAACCACCACCCCCTCCATACCTTTTTCTCCTGGGGTTGTTTTGATCTCCCCAGCCCTTTTTTCTTCCCCTGGTATTCCTTCCTGTCCTTTTTTTCATTAATGTGTATTTCTGGTTTGGCTTCTGATCTGCTTTGGAAATGGTATTTCATGACTTTTCATTTCCTCTCGTAGATGGAAACTGGAGTCAAGATGGGAGGGCAATCTCCAATTACTGGTCTAGACAGCAATCCTGCTGCTGCATCTGCCACGGGTAAGTGCTGATTTAATTCCCTGCCACCCTTTTCCCTGTTCTTTCAATAACAGTCAAACAGAACATAATACATAACGAGACTCAATAGGCTTTTAAAAAAAGGGAATATTGCACTGTTTTTATACTCCTAAATAAAGGACTGAGATCAATGGATTTTTAGTAGCTTCTGTCAAATATAACTTACATTGTCTCTAACAAACAGCTGAAACCAAGCAAAAATGAGTGATCACAACATTTGCTATACAGCAGTAATGATAATAGACTCAGTAGAAACCAGATAATGAAGACTTACGTATAGATCAAGATTAGGTTGCCATAGAAACTGTGCTTTCTTGATTTGATGAAATTCTGGGGATGTATGCTGCTTGCATGGTTTTACTGCTTAAATCAGGGCAGCATATTGAAAGGATAGAAATAACATTCAGCCCTCTTAACAGCTTTCCAGTTAATAACAAATACAATATATCATTTATATTTGTGTTTTAGAGACATGACATTCAAACAAGGACAAGAGTCACTTTGATCACATCTATAAATATCTAGTTTGAAAACAACATCTAAGGAAAAAGAGAGTTTGTGAAATTTGGTCAGTACCAAATATGAGCAGAACAATTGTAATTCCTGTGGGAAACAAATATGTTGTATTTAGAAACAGTGAAAATGCCAGAGTGACTCAATAATGGGAATCCCTATTGACACACTGATAGAACTGACTCTGTTCAGTATTTCTCTGTACAGACCTGAACTTTATTCTTTCTCTTCAGGCAGTAGCAATTAAGCATAAGCTGAGTTTCTCAACTTCATGTCTAATGTACTTAGCAGAGGACGAAAAAATACACAGGATCTGATTCATTCCAGATGTCTCTCCACTGATGTTATTTAAGTTGTACCTGCATTTATTATAGTCCATATTAGATATTCAAATTCAAAATGAAACAGTTCCCATATTGCAAATCTGACCAGTTGGTTCCTTTCCTTGAAGGGTGAGCTGACCAAATGTGAGCTGTTGAAACTGGCAAAGTTTTAGTGTTGAATACACCTGGAGGAGATTTATGATCACAGTTTTGACATACTGACCATGAAAAACACTACATCTAAATCAAAGGAACGAGACAAAAGTCTTATTTTTTAATATATTCAGAATATAAGACTCCTGGTTAATATAATTCAGCACACAGGAGCTTCTTTGTTTGAAGATACCAAGAGGGGCAGAGTCTCTGAACACATCTGAAGAACGTAGGTAGCAGAGCAGCTCCAGTTTGTACTGCTTCTTGTCATGTTTCATTTTCCTCTTATTTAACAGCACATCCTTTGTCAAACCTGCCACTTCTTTCATGCTGCCCTTTTTCAAGGATAAGCTTTCAAAGACAACCTTGAAAAATTAAAGCATCTCTTAGATGACATACTCTTTTTTTTTTTAACACTTTATGAAAAAATCAGCATAGTTTTGAGAAGTTTTTGCACAAACTCACACATGAGGCTTTTTCATTCTGAGCTGAAGGAAAATTGAGCCAATTCCACCAAGGTTCTAGCCCACTGTCTTCAGAATTTAATATAGCATGTGAGAGGTGTTAATGTCAGAGATTTTCAAGATATTTTGGTTTATGCTTTTGGCATGTAAAGAGAATGTAAATTACTTTGAGCTTGGAAACAGATACGCTGTGAAACTAGAAAAAATTAAAAAAAAGAAGAATTCTCTGTGATTCCTTCTGTTCCTTTAGAGAAAATCTCAAACTCTAGGATCCTTTACTTGTCAAATGCTGGTTTTGGTTTCAGTACCTTTTTAATCCCTTAATGAAATGAAGCATGAAGATCTACATTATATTTATAAATAATGAATGCAATCAATGATTTTTTTTTTATTTTCATACATCTAAAATCCCAAGTGATAGTTAAAAAACCCATGCAAATTTGTGTTTCTGACTATAAGGGTACAAGGTGCTGATGGATGGTCGCCTAATGGGCAAGAATTCTTGGAAAAGAGTTCCTTCCCAGGAAAAAATACTGAGGGGCCATGAGAGTTCAGCCTAAGCTCCCTCCACATAGCCCACATTTGGGAACAGGTCATTCCCTCTCTTTCCCCAGTGTTTTCTAGATCACTCCATGTGCTTTTGGCAACTGTCAGTTACACCAAGGGTGTGTCTTGGAGGTCTCTCTTGGAATTCACAAGTGTGTTTCCCCTTCTGTTTCCTGAGTATCTGTGTATCTCTGAGAGAAAATACCACAAGAGAAGCCATATGCTTGATGGATCACTCAAACCTATTCCTGGTTATTTTCTGTTAGTTTGCTACTTGTCACTTTTTTAATGCGAAAAAAAAACAGTGGAAGTGATTGATAATCATCATTTTTGTTGATTATAATTATGTCCTTTAAAAAAATGTCAGTGTAAGGTTTAACATGTATTTTTGGCAAATGGGTATTTAGCTGGCATCTACTTGATGAGCAGAGTTTCAGAACAATTTTTTTTCAAACAGTTGCCACTACATCATTATTGCTTTATTTTTTTTTTATTTTTTAGTTATTGCCCCCAGCCAGAATGATGACTATGAACCCCAAGGAAAGAACTTGAGTATTCTTCTCAAAACAGAAAAGCTGGAGAGGGTAAATACTTAAAGTCTTCTTCCTCCCCCTTCATGATCCAGGTAAAACATCTGGATAATATCTCTAGGCTGACAAACTTTAAGGTATAAATGACACACAAAATTTTCTATTTGGGTAGTTCTTTCATGTTGCAGGCCAATATTTCAGTTTATATATTGGGCAAATTACTGTTTTTGTTAATCTAATTACTGATTAACTCTTCTGGGAATCATAACATCCCTCAGGATTTTTAAAGCAGTTATTAAGGACAAAGGGGTTTCCTTATTGCACTCATATGTATTCAATGTTAAATAATATCTGAACATCTCTCAATTAGATGGAAAAGTCACTGAGTGGCTCTGGAATAAAAGTGTTGTCAGTGAAAGTGAACCAGAATACCAAGGCTCTTTGAAGTGTAGCTCTTTAATTACTCCCCCCATCTCTGCAGTCATTATCTTCAGTCCTTTCTTTTTTCACTCCAAAATAAGTTTTTTCCTTCCAGGCACTGAATTATCTTGGGATTCAGCTCACAAATGAACAGCAGCAAGCCCTAAGGCAGCAACTTCATAAAGATTCGAAAGGAACAGTGTCTTTTGGAGGTAATAATTTGTTAATTACCATAGAAAATAATGAAAAGTAAAAATACAGAAATTATAGATAATAACCCTTAATATATTTTTGTAAGTATTGGGCTGCTGCTGCAAATAAAATGATAATTTGAGGCAAGAACCTTCTTTCACTGTATGAAAGTAAGCTTGAAATTCTGAAACTAAAGTAATGGGAATGTAAATCACAAATTTATCTTATGAAGGCCAACCTTGGGAAAGTTTTATTTTGTGCTCACAAAATCCTGAATTTTTTGTTTTGATAAAACAAGGAAATCGTAATTTTAGGGAAATTAGGGTACTGTAATTTTTCCCAAAATTACTGGTGAGAGTTTTGATGATTAAAGAGGCTTCTTGAAGCAAGTAAACTGATCACATAACTTTAGTATGTGGGAAGCAAAAACATTTCAATTATTGCATATAGAAATAGGTTTGCAGGGAGACAAACACAGTTCTTCCAACTAAACCTAATTCTTCTGGGAATGAATTGCTTCTGTTGCTTATAACAATTTTGGTTGATGACACTGACAATTTAAAAATATTTTTCAGAAGCTGTGAGACATGATGGTTCTGATGCTAAAACTGATGGAAATTTCACTTTTCCTAAAGTCCATGAAAAACACCAGTGTGTGAAAAATAGTATTTTGGACTTAAACATCAAAAAAGATCTTCACTGAGAAAGATACTGGATATTCTATAGGATTTTATGTGGAATAAACTGACCTTTCTATTTCCACCTTTCTGACATAGTGTAGCAGAATTTTTTAATTCAGAATGTATGGGTAATCCAAGTCATGTTGATTGTTCATGAGGCACTGTTTGTATTTAAAACTTTCAACTTGTCAACATCAATTTTACCCAGCCTCTATCAGGGCTTTCAGACATATTAAAGAGCCTGAAAAGGAAATTTTTCCTTTTTCCTGTCTCCTCTGGTAAGGTCAACTCATTGGGAAGGGCAGGTGAGTATACCTGGTGTGCAGATTGATTTCATTTTTCACTGGCACCTACCAAATGCAGAACATCTCAGGTGATTTGAAGGAAAACTTCACACCACCTTTGTTTCCTTTTCTCCTTCACAATTTGATTTGAGGATATTTCATTCCACGATGTGTTTCGGCATTTTTATTCTTACCAGCTTTACCAGAACTTTCTCTTTGGAGATATCTCTCTGATTTTCTTTATTTCCTTTAGAAATCTTAAAGGGCAAACTGCATTTATGACAGTGGCTGTTCATGGTGATATTGGCAGTTCTGCTGCATCAGTGATCTGTCACTAAACTGAACTTCCAGGTTACAACAAAATCTGATTTTTTTTCCTAGATTTCGTTGAAGTTTCAAGGAAACTGTTGTCTGTGCACTCAAATGCAGCTGATGATGGTCACAAATCTGAAACCTCTGGAGTCAGTGAAGTTGCCAGTTTACAGGACTCACAGGTAAAATATGTGCCTGGTCAGTGTTTTAACAGCTGGGAGGAGATTGGAGAGTTTATTGTATATAAAATAACTCAAAATCTTGGGTGAATGTTTAAAACAGCTCTGCAGCATAGGGTTCTTTAAGATAACCTAGTTTCTGTGAAGCTTTTTTCAGCAGCCTAATTTGCAGAAAGCAATTAATGTAATTGAATTGTGGTTTGTTGTAAGTCTGGACAACATTGATTTACTGAGGTTTCTTAGTAAAATTTGGATTGTCACAATCTGTGTGAGTGAGAAACAATTACTGGGCCCAGTGATTTAAGCAACTGCTACAATGAAAATCATTTTATTCTAGAGATGACTTTAAAAAAGAGCAGTCTTATTATATGAACTAAAATAAAATGCCTTATTATTTAATATATTAAAATAGTGATGTATTCTTAGTACTTTTAAAAAGATACTTTATTAATCCATTTTAAAAGGAAAAGTAATTGTTCCTTTGGAAGATAAGTTGGTTAAAATTTTATTAAACATTTTTAGCATTTTCAGATCTATAAATCATCCTAAAATTAAGATTGTCTTTACAGTTTATTAACAAGAACTTTTAATATAAGATATTAAAGATTACGGAAGACACAGTTAGCGATACATTCTAACCTTACATGTTTGTATATACTCAGTTCGTAACTTGTGATTCCTTGGAGGATGATGTGGAAAAACTTAAGAAAGAAAGAAATGAAGCTTTAAAAGAAATCAGTATATTAAAGGTAACACTTAATTTTTATTTGCTTTAAATTATTCCAGTGATTAATTTTTTGAGTATGTATAGTAATTGACTGGGGTTTTTTTTAATTTTATGTGCAGTTTTTCATAGATAAATAAAATGGCAGTGCAAACAGTCCAAATCATATTTGAAGATTGCATACAATATATTTGTGGAGACAGTGAATTTTAACCATTATCCTGAATGCTAACACATTTTTTAATCTGATCCATAGAGAAATGAGACTAAGCAGACATTTCACAGAAGTGAATTTGGAGAAATGACTGATTTGCATGGTAATTTTATTTAAAAATGTGTGATGGTAGTAGCTGCAGAGTCTGAGCATGTGCTGATTCTTCTGAAAGGAATCAGAACTGGAGGATAAATTAATCTGTGTGCAAATTTAATACATATCTTCCCAACCATACTAAATTCCCAAGTCCTAAAGCAATAAATATTATTTCTTAATACTCCTGGTTAATACCACATTCCTATGGTCCTGAATTTCTTTTTTAACGAACCATAAGATAGGAAGTTCTGTATTCAGCATACATAACTCTGGTTCTGAGACAAGGAATACTGAGCTATTTAAAATTGACAATTTTAAATCTACTGACAATTAAAAAATTGTCCCTTGGCCCAAAAAATTTCTTGCTGTAAATTACAGAGGCATTGTTTTGAAATGGCCAGAGATTAGTTCTCTGTTCTGTGCACAAGGATTCTTCTTCTGAGAGCTTTGTACTGAAATGAAAGAACCCCATTTACATTGAATACAGTGAATATTGACTAGGAGTCCCTAAATTGCTGATGTGGAAAACTGACAATGATCAATCTATAGTTAATTGCTTTATTTCTTACACTCTTTTACACACATCCCAGAAATGTTCAGCAAATAATTCTAAAATACTCAAGAAACTTAAACAGCATCAATGAACTCACAGAAAAGTTAGCTTTTAGAGGTGGTTTTATCACAAGTTTTATAAAAGCTGTTGATAGAAGATCAGTATTGTTATCTGTAATTTTGAAAGAGCTAATTGCTTTAGGACCAAAACTCTTTCTCTTTCAAACTTATTTATTATTTCTTTTTAACAGGAAGAATTGTCTGAATCTGTGAACTTACGGCAACAGTTAACAGAGCAGCTACAAGTAGTCAAGCAAGTATGTTGAAGGCTCTAAAAATTATAATTATTTTTTAAAATTAATTTTTTTTTGTGGAAGGGAGAAAGGAACACTTCTTTTTCTCTTGGTGCTCATATAGACTATTCTTTCACACTGATTTCAACACAAAGTGGTTCTTGTGTTACTACAGAGCTTTTGATTAAAAGTGAAGAATTGATCCTTCATATTTTAGAGCAGTAATCTATTTCTCTGCTATTGAATTGAGATAAGAACCTGAGACTAGCTGGATCAATGGAGTGGAATAACAGTGTAGAACCTTTCTAGTCTTAAATGTTCTTGAAGAGACTTTGCTGTTCTTAGGCAACAGTTGTCTAATTCACAGTCCTAACATTAACTACTTTATATGTCAGCCAGTATTAAATGTGAAAAAATTACCAGAATAAAAAGTTGTAGTCAGGGTTTTCTGAGAAAAGTCTTGTTTCTGCCTCCAAATTTGTCTATAATTATGAGCCAATAAATCAGAGTATTTGGCTTCCTTGTGTCTCTGAAAGGAAATTCCCAGTTAAGTGTAAGTCTCGTGTAATTTATAGCCTGGATTCAAAACCAAGGAGTTTTCCTGCTCCCTCTTCCTCCTGTACACCCAGTCAGCTTTTCCTTCTAAAGAGCTGGCTGCTTTTTTACCTCCTGCACTGCTGCACCTATTCTTTGTGGGTTTGTCATGTCAGATGTCATGTGAAAATGCAAGATAAAGTTTAAAAATCCCTTGTATTAAGATAGTTTTATATTTTTGCTCATAAGAGTCATTGAACACCTTCATTATCACCTTTTATTCCTTGAATATACAAGAGCTTGCTTGGAAGCTTTTTCCATTAGTATTGTGGTGTTTCCTTCTATATACTGTGGGGAAATAAATTGGGTTATCTTCTGGATAAAAATTAACTGGAAGATTGTTCCAGTAATGCACTTGAAATTCCCATTCTCTATTGGGTTGACAGTGTTTTTCTAGACCAGCACACTTATTCGGTGTATTAATCCAGAATAAAGTTATCACAGAGTACAATCCCCAGTACAAACCTGCTTTTCCTAGGAGAGCAGCCTTGGACAGGGCTGGTTTAAGATGTTTTAAGTGGCAGCAGTGCCCATTTGCCACCACTCGAGGTCCTCCCACTTTTATTTTTCTCAGGTACTGTTGTGGGGTGGTGAAATTCAGCTTTGCCCTGCAAACCTCCCAGGGATAAATACTGATTTTCTTGTAGGCATTGAAAGGGTTCCATATAGTGAAGTGAAAGAGAAATAATAAATTATATATAATTATAGCATTGTGTGATCTATTTTAGGAGATATGAGTGGGCTTTTAATGGACATTTTCTTCTGTTTATACTTGGTGCATCTTCAAGTGTTTTATATATGTTATTATATATCTATTTCTGTTGTTTAAAACCAATATTGGCACTGAGATTCATGGTGATAAGTTTTTTAAAAATAGGCTACTTACAGTACAAATTGCCATTTAACTTAAGATGTGCCTTCCAGCTTGAGCTGGTTAGTCAAAGGAGTTAATGAGTACATTATTGAGCCCTAATGGCCTGATTAAAAGTAACAAACAACCAAAGTATGCAAAAAAAAAAAACCAATTTAAGTCTGTGCTTAAAGTCTTCTGAATTCAGTGTAATTTAAACATGTTTTTAAAAATGACTGTTTTCCTGAAAAAACAAGGTTTTAAATGAGGATTTAGGTTACCAGTCATGTATTAGGGTATATTTTGTGGTATTTCTCTTTTCTACTAATTGTTGAATTACAGAGATTACAGATTAATTAAAACAGGGGTACAAATATTCTGGTTAATGAACATGTTTTGTTAGTACCAACTCATTAAACAGTGCTTGACTCAGTAACTAACAGCATGAATAAGCTCTTAAGATTAGAAATGCTGCTAAACTTGCAGTGAGGTAGTAATTATTTTCTAATATTGGTGTGTGACAATTAAAATTCATTAATTGATCTATTTTTACTTTGAAGCTGTGATACAGTGCTATATCTTTGTGTCTTCCTTGAAATCATATGTAAGCTGAAATTGGCACAAAACACAGAAAGGCACTTTTGAGTACCTGAAGTCTTGCCAAGAGCATGAATGTGAAATCTGTAATGATGTCTTCTCTCTTCCTGGTGGAGTTGGACTGGATCCTGTGCTGCCTGAGAGTCCTGGGATATTTCATATTTCAGTCTGAATGATCCCTGCTGTACTACAGCTTTTTCTGGGCAGTTGCTGTCAGCTGGAGCACTCAGCTAAACATAGGAAATGGGAGAGGTTGTAAAGATAAGATATTGTTTGTGGTATCCCAAACTCCTGGACTTGGTTCATAGGGCTGATCTTTGCCACTCTGTGGTTGTTTTCTCTAAAGGGAAAAGAGGGGCTTTGAATAGCTGCTATTTTGAAAGCAGTATCTAATTTATTTCACCCTGCCTGAAAGAAGTACTGGGTTTATTTCATTTGTTTTTTTTTTATTTTAATACATAGTAAAGATATTCAAAGTTCTTTTAAAGGATGATTTCAACATACAATTTTTGTAGAACTAATCAACAAGCGTGATTGATTTGTAACTACAGTTTCCATGTGGTTTAAAATAACGTCTTAGTTCTGGTGTTTGTTGTGGCTGGAATAAAACTTGGATAAAACCTTCTGACACTTGAATTTATCCAAGGAAGAAATAGAACCTGGCTTAGGAAGAAACCTGTACCTTGAAATTGCTCATTTAAGCATTCAGCTTCTCTCCTCCAGCTGCTAAATCCTTTTTGGTTGTAGTGGCTTCATACCAGCTCAGGACAGTGGGTCCCATGAGGTATTTATATAAAAGAAATATTAGCAGCTGCAGATCCCCTATCTAGAATCCTAGACTGGTTTAGGTTGGAAAGGACCTTAAAGCTCATTTCATTCCACCCCCTGCCATGGAGAGGGACACCCTCCACTATCCCAGATTGCTCCAAGCCCCATCCAGCCTGGCCTTGGACACTTTTTTCATACATTTGGGTGTGACAAAAGCTTGTGTTTCTGAAGTGGGTGCTACCCATCAGTTCTTCACTGGTGGGGCCCCCTTACCTGCCAGGTAAGAGAACCTACTGTGTCCCCACAGTGCCAATCCAGTAACTGGAGAATGGAAAAACCTGATGGAATCATTTCCCTTTATGCCCCTCTGCTCCAGCAGACGGTTCTGGTGTGTCAGACAATTTTACTAATTCAGTTGTAGTGTGTAATTCTTTCATTGTAATGTAAGAAGCCATTGTTCTTTAATTATTCCTTTAGGTCTTTCACTATTGAAATCTGGTCATACTTAGTCTGCTATTACAAAGAAATTAATATTCAACAACTGGGGTTCTGAAAAAACAATGAAGGAGTAAAGGCAATTCTGGATTTTAAGATATTAAACCTTTATCTCAAGGAGGTCTTCTTTCAAAATGAAGACCTCCTTTTTCATAATAGCAATTTTCTCTTCACTTTTCTCATGTCAGTTTATTTAAATAATTCCTAATTGTGGGTTTTTAAGATGCCACCCTTTTTCAAGGCCACTGTGTTCGTTTATATTAGTCAAACCTAACATCAGAGCATCTTTTCACTTTTGTCTCCAAGAGTCTTTTTCCCACCTCCAGCCTGTGTTCCCAAGGATGCCTTTGCTGCTGAAGGCTCCCAAGTCATCCTCTATAGCAGCAGGGCCCAGCTCTTCTCACTGTTGACTCATTTTGTTTCTTACAGTGGCAAGAAAATGCCCTCCCCAAAGGCAGTAACCTCTGCCTCTAATTCTATAGGTTGATAACTTCTAAGAAGTCCCTGTGTTCCCTGAATTATTTCTAGGAAAAAGGAGTGCCACAAACAGCTTGCAGGAGGGGTGATTGCTGTGCTTTCAGGGAGTGTGAGCAGTAATGCCCCTCACACTGCTTTTAGTGCTGTAAACACACAGCTGTGACACCAGTGTGAGGAATAACACACACATGGAGTCATAAGTTTGGGATGAGTCTATGTTTCCAGCTGCAGTTGGTCCTTGTGTAGTTCACCTAATGCTTCCAAATTAAAAAAGGAAATCATTCTACTTGCTGTCAATGGATTTCTTAGTGCTTGTGCCCTGTAACAGAAACCTCTAAATTATACAACACCAATGTCAGCTGTGTTCACTAATGGTGTTGCTGTTCTATGTGTGTGCTTACTTCTTCTACTGCTCTATTTTCTGAGAGTCCAGGATGTCCCTGGCCATTGTCCAAATTGTTATTATATTGCAAAGATGAGGAAGATGATGTACTGGTTATATGTCACTGAGTTTAGCTGATTTATGGCCTGGAATATATTGTTCATTAAGCCTAACAGTGTAGCAGTTAAAAGTCATATGAAGCTGAGATTGGTAGATCATTTTATTGAAAGAACATTATCACAAAGTATAGGAAAACCTGACTTAAAGGATATTGATTGTACAGAACAAATACTTCTACCTTAGGAAAGAATTAAATCTGCATTTTTAAGTTTAACTGACCTCTTTAGACAGTTCTATTATGACATCTGTTATATGCAATTTCTTCCACAAAACAGGAAGATCTGGTAATCTTGGTTTTTTAAAAACAGCAATTTCAAACCTAGCTTCTAGAAGGTTATTTCCTCCATGTTAAAGAGTCATAGTGTGTTTCTCCTCTACACCCACCTGTTTTCCCTGTAGTTCCATTCTCAACCAGGATATAATTATAATAATAAGATGTTATAGGTAGACCAGGAATAGAATATTCACCTAAGTGAATCCTTAACTGAGCAACTTCTACAAAAAACTTCCAGCTGTGTGAATATGTGTATTCAAATCTGATCATTTTAATTATTCAGAAAATTGATATAAAGTGACTTTTCCTACAGATTAATTAAAAGCTGAGGGAAAAGATGGTTTAGTGTTTTTGGTGCCAGTGAACCTGTACATTTTGTGTAAGCAGTTTTTGTTTTATTCCTAGATGAGTGTAAGCTCATTGTAGTCTGTTGTACAGACCTTTAGTTTGGCTTTCTAATTTACTAATCAAAGTTAACTTCAATCAGTGTTCAGTCCTAAAATTAACTGACTGATATCTTTGTTCAAAGGAGTTTTTGCAACATTTAGGGGTTACATTAGCTGAATTAAAAACTAACAGTTTCTGATTTTCTGTTTTCTGTACATTATTTATATATAAGTTTTATCTAACACTCTTCTGTGATAATCCAGGACATTAGGAGCATAACAGGAGCAGGAACTAGGCAGAAAAATAGATTTTATAAAAAGCACTGATTATGAGAAGAGTGTGGACTGAATACTTACATTAAAAGTTCATCTACATGATGTGTGAGCTGTGACTAGAGTGTGAATTCAGGCAATAATAATGAAATGAAGTAACATCTCATTAAGGTACTTTTTTGGTATGGAAGCAGTGGGGCAGATCAACAGCATCTGGTGCCTTTCAAGAAAACCTTCCATTCAAGTAGATTTTCAGTAATTATAGAACTTGTTCTTTAATTTATTAGGAAAATTATTTCTCTGTACATACCTGTTTTTTCTTTGCACATCATATATTTAAAATTAGCAATTGAGCACTCTAACCCTGAACGCTAACAGGTAGCCCAGATGCCAACTGCAATACTTGTGAGCTAAATCTGCTCTTTTTGGTAGCTGGAATTGTAACTTTTCCACTGAATTATATAACCTGCAGGAAGCCAAGGCAGCTGTGGAGGAGACAAGAGCCCTGAGAAGCAGAATTCACCTTGCAGAGGCTGCACAAAGGCAGGCTCGGGGAATGGAGATGGACTATGAAGAGGTGATTCACCTGTTAGAGGCTGAAATTGGAGAGTTGAAGGCTCAGCTCGCTGAGCATTCTGGCCAAAATAAAGTAAGCAAAGCCTGTCAGAGTTACCATGGTTTCCTTGCTGTTGTCATGTGTCTTGTTTTCATTTTCTTTTCATCTGCTTTTCTAAAGTAGGTCACTGTTTGTCTTGTATTATTCAATAACTGGGATGATGTGTAGTGAAGGGGGTAATGTGAAGTGTACGAGGCTTCCTTTATCCAGACATCTTTGGGCTGGAAGAACAGGAGCTCCCAGCATATGTGGGTTTTAGGTCAGAATGGTACATCTCAAGCATTAAACATGGAATAGTTCCTGGGCTGCAGATATATTGTCTTTAAAAACTACACCTTGCATATATTTATATGCTTTTGTACACATAAGAAAATAGCCTTCAGGTTTATGTTTCTGTTAGACAAATAACAACCATATAAAGTCCGGTCCTGTTCTAAAGTAAATTTAGATTTAATCAAGGTAATCATTTAAATGTAGTAATCCTGCCAAAAAAAATTTAATTTAGCCTTACATTTTAAATCTACTTCATCTCCAGTGAGGCATTTCAGAACAGGTTAAGAAATAAAATAAAAATTAAAAAAAAAAAAAGATTAATATAAAATATTTTTTCCATAACTCCTGACCTGTGTATTACACAGAATTTGAACAAGTGCAAGCAGGTTGGCATTTATGAGGGTACCTTATTTTTCTCATAAAAATGGATGCACATATGACCTGGTGAAGAAAACCTCCTGAAATGTTACCTTATTTTATCCTGAGAATTAATTTAATATTTCAAGACATTAGAAGGTAAAGTCAAGCTCTGTGGTAAACAAGCTTGCAGAAAACAGCTTAGCAAGTCCCTGTGGCTCCCAGGAGGAATTCCTGTCATCTGGTTGTGAGTGATTATGTGAGTCACACCCTGGATGTTCTTTCTGAACATCTGGGTGAGATGCCCCATGTTTTATGTCAGGTGTTCTTGCAGCACTGTTTGTTTTCTAGGACTTTAAAAAATAGCCAAACTTTAAGAGATTCAGAGAGTGTGGGTTGCTTTCCTAGACATTTGCTCCAGAGATTCTAGCTTGAGTTCCTGAAATTCTGACTGAGTACTACAATACCTGTGTGGAGATTTGAATTTCTGCATTTCTTATCCCAAAGAAGCAGTATCAAGTAGGTACCAACTCCATATTATACCCTTTTGTCCTGTCCTGCTGTAAAAGGGGAGTCAAGTTTCAGGCAGGGTCACACCTGTTTGGTTTTTTCTTTTCTTTTGATGCCCAAGTTAATCTCTCCCTAAAACACACTCACTAAACAGAGTATAACATATGTTGAGGCATAAATAAAAATCACATTGGTCCCTCTCACTTTTTTAGTGTGAAAGAGTGAGATCTCTCACCAGCTTCTTCTCCAGAGTGGACAGTGAAATTACCAAAAACTGGTGTTTGAATCAACAGATTCTTTGACATTTGGGGCAGTGATGATTCTGCTGTTTTGTACAGTGTATACAAACAAATTTACTTCCAGTAAAGTTAATGAGTGGGTTTTAGTGATTATTTTGTAAGGGTTTTAGAGTAGGTTGTTGTGGGCTTTCAGAATGACCACCTGCAGTGTGATAAAAAGTTTATTTTTAACTACAGTGCTTTTTCTGTATTTTGGAGAGATCTTTCTGGATTTTGTGTCCAGCAGACAGCTGAGCTAAACAGACGTGCCCAGGTACATGTGAGGATTTCACTCGTGGTCCTGTCACAGGAACAGTGCCAGGAACTCTGATGAAACCCAGAGCCTCCAGGGCTGGATCTAATAGAGCTCACATCTTCTGTACTGAAGGAGGGAGGGATGCATAACACTGATCAATAGGTTATACAAGTGCATGCAGAGACATCCTAGGGGGTAGTTTCCTCCAAGATGTGCCATAATTACTGTGTTGAATGCAAACCAGGGGACTGAGTTTGTTCTGGCTGTTTATGGCACCCTGCTGAGAGATACTGTCACCATCAGGTTGGTATTTCTGATCCATTCATCAATTAGTTCAAACTCTCTTAATTTTCAGCCCTATCCTTGTTGTTATCTTCCAGTTTTAACTTACCCTTCTATCATTTGTCAAAAGCTTGGAGCAGATTTGCCAGCTGGTCAGGCATTCCAGTTAAGTGTTTTACAGAAATGTAGAAAAGAGTGCGTTAAAAATTCCAAACACTCTGTTCACACTATGTCTCTATCCATGGGAGGAAAGTTATTAGAATAAAAACCTTAAAATACCTTTCCCAGGAGAACATTCAAGACTTGAGAAAGAGAGTTACAGTGCTTGACTGCCAGCTGCGGAAATCAGAGTCAGCCAGGAAGACCTTTGAGGTGGCCACTGAAAAATTGCTACAATTTGTAGAGGTAACTTTGCCTTTCATTTCTAACAGTGCCTTATTTGGAAAATGCTTGTGTTGATGTTTGTGAGGAATAAGCATAGTAAAATGACTATAAACTAGTTTGCAGAGATCCTTTCATTCCTAGAAATACAGATGATGTATGAGTGTACAGATCCAGAGGTTTACATAATCTTTGTGTTTTTCTATACTGGACAAATGAAAATAACCAGATTTTTTTTCCACCTAAACTCTATCAATTTCTGTGAAACTCCTCAGAAGAAAAGGCAGAGAAAGCTAATATCTGATAATTCTTTGGCATGTTATGAAACAACAAAAAAGTGATGTTATATTTACTTTGTTTAAAAGGATCATAATATTTTGGTTTTTAATTTTGCGCTTCTAGCTGGGAGACACTAGACTCTTTAATTGCAAATCAAATTCCCCAGCCCCAAATAGAACATCAAACTATAAGGTATTAACTTTTTGACTGTGTTGATTTATAAACTGTTAACTTCTTGACTATGACCAACAGGTTGTGCATGAAATACTTTCAGATAACTCTACTTCCTCAACAGTTTTAAGGTAATGAAATAGCAATATTAATGGTGAAAAACTCTGCTGTTGTTTCCTAGTCTCAGAAAACTGCCTTGTAGCTATTTTTTTCTATACTTTTGCTGTATAGTTCTGAGTGTCATTTTATTGAAGGAGAGGGAATGGCATGAATTATAAATTAGGCTTTCGGGATACAGCTTCATTAAAAACCACTGAATTAAATTAAAACACTTAGTAATTACATAGCTATGATTGTCTGGATGTTTCCATAAAGTAATTATAATGTACTAAGGATTAGTTAAAATGCAAGGAACCTTAACAGTGGGTTATAATTTTTTAATATTTTTTTAGATTTTCCTAGGTGATTTTGCATCACAATGAATCCAGTAGCATATAAATAAATTGATAAAATGCGTATCCATTTACATTTTATTACTTCTCTTGTTTAAAAAGCTGCTGTGAATATTCAAGAAGATTTAAGCAGCCTTTGGTCCTTCAGAAAATTGTCATGATTGTGCCTATATATCCCAGATAGCATTCCATTAATATTTATGTAATAGTAAAATTGTTTAGTCTCCTTCCTGCAGTTATTTTCGAGACAGCTCTCAAGGAAATCAAATGTATTTAAGTGAAGTGAACTGGAACTTTATTTCAAAAAACCTATGCAGGCACAGACCAACTAGGACATCATAGATAATCAGTGAGATGCAGTTCCTATTGGAACTGCACACAGCAGTGATGTCTGTTTTACAAAGTTCATAGAACTTATTTTAGTGAATAAATTAATTATCAAATACTAAGCCAATGTGACAAGCAGACTCACTAACAGCAGAGAAGATAAGAGTTGGGTCCCTTGAAGCAGTCTCCCTTCTTAAATGCTGGTATGAGAATTCCATTCAAGTTCCTTTCCTGACACCCACTGAGCCTTTGACAGTGCATTTTGAGCTGTGAATGTTACTTGAATTGAACATTCCAAATGCCTTCATTGTTCAGCCAGGACTGCTGCTGGGGCAAACTCACTGATTTGGGAGCGTGAATCTTTTTTTGTTCATACAGTGAGAACAAAACCACTTTAGAAAAACAAGTTTACCTTATTGAATGGAACAGTTTCCTTTATCATCTTACAAATAAACACTTACTTTTTTTATTATCTTAGTGACAGAAGAACATTGTCCACTAAAGCACTTCTGGCTCGGCTGGGAAGGGTCGGACCTACTGTCACAGCAGCTCTTGCAGCAGAAGCCAGGGACCTTGCCAAGTCTGTCCGTGCCATTTTGGAAGTAGATTGTGAGTGAGTGTGTCCATCTCTGTGTGCTTTGAAATCTGGTATCAGTTCATCAGCCAAGAAGATGGATAATTTCATTTAAAATTGGATGTGAACTGGCAGAATAAATCATTCCTAGCATGGAAAGACAGAGCAGGTTCAGTGTCAGCTCAGGATGCATCTTCATCAAACTATAATTAGAATATAAAGTTATTCCAGAGTACATTTCTTTGCAGGAAAACTTAAAGCACTAAATTAATGCCAAAGTGAGGAATATGAAGATTACCAGAATCATGTAAAACTAGCAGAATTTCATTACTTTAATGCTCTGTTTTTCATATTGGAATATTTGCAAAATGTTATTCTGCTGGATTTACATGAACATGTATCAAAGTGTTTTAATGAAGATGTTGTTGCTGTAGGGAGTGAATGTAGGCAGCAGTTCCATTTGGAGATATCTCTTTATGTCCTCAGGTCATAAACAGAAATCTGTTCCCATTGGTGAAAATGATGGTAGTTCATGAGAGTGATTAATAAACTGCATCAGTTGAAAATCTTAAGACACAGCTTTGAATTATCATGTAATTCCTGGTTCAGATCATGGAAATGATTGTGTATTCTGATGGTTTTTGTCTATAGTTGAGTAGGCTTGTCAGTTCTAATCCAGCTTAAATGGATTGATTTACAAAAATGGAACAGAAATGGTACATCACAGGAGGTTTTGGAAAGGTGGTCAGTTATGGTTACCCATAATTATTGTATCAAATATTTGAATAGATTTGACTGTTTGGGAATTAATTTAGAAAGAAACTGAAAAAATTATTGTTGAGAAAATAAGATATGAAAAATCGTTTTTTGGTGTTATTTATGAAGCATTTATTACTCACTCTGTGGCAAAGAAAGCAAAACAAGAAGATACAATTTGTTCAGAAGTGTCCAGAATATTAGAGTTAGTGTTACTGGTGGAGTGAAAAGAATAACAGTGACCAGGAAAGGAGATAATTGATTTTGCACCAATGACAATCATAGTTCTGTCACACTGAGTTGGTTTTATTACACTACACAGGAAATTGTAGAAAGAAAACTTTTGGTTCTAAATGCAGCTGAATTCTGACATGTTTATGTCAGACATAATAGGTAGGATACATGTTAGCTCTGGAGCCACAGGAGGGATCCATTTTATGAACCTGAGAATTAAAAATAGGTCTGCAGAGAAGGATTTAAAGATCGAACGTCATCTTTCTGAGTTCATTCTGATTTGGAGAGCATTACAGATAGATTTGGGCTCTGACAAGCTTGGGTATGAGATTAAAGCTTTAAGCCTCACTGGCTTTTTTCTCCCTCTCCCTCCAAAAAAAAAAAAAAAGTGCTTAAGGCAAAGGAACTATGTAATAGCATTCTGTCTGCAGTGTTCTCTGCCAGCTTCTCACTAAATGTTTTCCATTTGATCTGAAGTTTTCTTGCAGATGGGCTGTCATAGAAAGGGGGCTCTTGTGTATGTGGCATTTCATAAATATCATCCATCAAAGAGAAAAGTGTAATAGAGATTACAGTGCAGACTGAAGGCTTTCCTTTTTACAGAGAGGTGTCCACAACATAATTTGTAATTGAGTTCTTAAAGAGGGTACTGGAGTTAATATTTTTGAGGTTGCTCAGTGGATCAGAATGTCTGGCTGGGAAACCTTTGTGATACATTTTACCTTCTAAACAGAGCTCCTCTTTTATTATTGCTTCATTCTTGTAAATACAAAGTAAAGGAGCTCCAGCCAAAATTCCTCTTTGATTCATTTACAATACATGTGAAATGAAGTCTGGGTTCCAAGACAAGGTTGTAGAGTGTTTTTCCAACAGAAAACTGCTTCCTTTGTAAAATACCTTCCTTGACAACCAGGCCAAAATGACATATTTATGAGTTACCTGCACAAACTATCCCCTTCCTCTGTAATAGTCTGACATTTTGCCTGAGGAAAGAGGCTTGAAGAAGTTCAGTGTATTCCTGAAAATCTTCAAGTACCTTTTTTCTTGTGATACTGCTGGAGATCAGCTTTCAGCTCAGCAGGCTGAGTGACAGCTCTGTGAAGGCACTTTGGTGATTCTTCAAGTGAAGACGCAGAAAAAAAAACAACAGCTCATTTTCCAGGGCTTACTACTTCAGGATCCTCCACATCCCAAAATGCAAATAATGAAGTAATAAAGTAATAAAGTAATAAATAAAGAATAATCAAGCTCATCCCTTGAAAGAGCCATTCTTTATCGTCTTTAAAGACCAAGCTATTTTTATAAACCAAGCCTTGAGAGGCCGTTCTGCTTTACAGAATCTGAGCATCTCCTGAACACTTGAAATTACTTTCATCATGCAGAGGATAATAATGCCTCAGTGAAGAACTGCAGCATTTAAAAGGAGTTGCTTCCTGCACTTAGTAGACCATATGGTGCAAATCATGCTAAAAAGAATAGAGATAGCATTTTCTTCTTTTCTATTACAAATTTAGAAAAGGAATACACTGGCTACTGGTAATGACCGAAATCTCATTAATCCTGGCACATAGTTATCTCATCAAAGAGCAGGCAATCAGCATTTCAAAATGGGCACTCCTATAACACAGCTTTTGAATATTTTGGCTGCCAGTTTCCTCCCTCTGCCTCTGAAACTTCTGTCAAAAATGCTGTCTTGCTGTATTTGACACAATCCCAACCATCCACATCCAGGAAATGTTCTGAAGCCAGGTTCTCCACTCAGCAGGAACTCAAGCAGTGAATTTTGAGCTGTTTTATCCCATCACTTATGTTTAATTTGCTCTCAGCCTGGGATCTGACACAAGGCAATCATGCTCAAGTTCACTCAAATGATCTCCAAATTAATACAGATTCCAAAACTCCTACTTAATTTACTCATATTGATCTTGCCAGTCACTTTGCATTTGATTTTGAAGATCCTACAGGCAGAAGTTTACTTGCCTGGATTTTATATTCATTTTCCTTGAAAGCTGACTGGATTAGAGAAGAGAACAGAAACTGCTGCTGCTCAATATCCATTAGTGCTTGTTGGTTAAATTGCTTTTGATTTTTGGGCAATGCCTTACATCTTTGGCATTAAAAGCTGAAATATTGGATCTATCCATTTCATCAGTTTAGGGATTTTTCAACTATATTGTGTTTAAATGCCAAAACCATTCCATAGTCAGGAAAATGTCAGTTATCCCTTCCCATCCTTTTGACAGTGTGGGTGGAACTAAGCTATAGAGTAGAGTAGCAAGGCTTCACAAATAACAATTTTGCTATGTTGAAAAAAGCCAATATTTTTAAGTATTCATATTTCTTTTGTTTGTTGCAGGCCTGGTGTGTTTGTTTATTGCAACAGAATTAATGCTATTTATTTATACAGGATTTATTTATACATTTTTGCCACTTTGTTCTTGAATCTTGTATTTTATGAACACAGTGGTGCTGTAACTTTGTGCAGGTAATTTGCTGTAGTTCATCAGCCAGAACATTCCCCATCCCCTTTTTACCTTATGCCTGTACATCAAAATCCAGCTGTAACTGTGGCATGGACAGGCATGTCCTGCTTAACTTCAGTTAGCTTGGCTCCTGATATTAAAGATGCTGTATCTTCTTGTATTTTTAGTATTAGGCAGAATTATTTCCTGCAAGGTCTACTTTGTGGGACAAGTGTGCATTGAGGAATAACTCTGACAGTCTTTCAGCTGCTGAACTAGAACTGTACCTTTCCTTCCTTACTGGAAGAACTGTCTGGGAAGGAGCAGAATTATGATAACCAAAGAGATAACTATGTGTATTCATTGTTCTGGCAAGGCCATAAATATTTCAGTGAATTACTGAAATCAGAAATAGAAGAGACCTGATAAATTATACAGAGTATATCCTGAACACCGCTCTACAGCTCCCTTTTTAATAGTTTTTGCTAGCAAAAAAACTAATATCAGTGGTGTGTGCTTTAAAGGTAAATAGTTTGTTTGTCAGCTCAACATTAATGAAGACAGTATGTCCACTAGAAAATATTCATTTGGTGAAATTAATATCTATTATTCCTTTGAAACTTCTAACAACAACAGAAGGAGTGAGTTTTCCTGAAAGAGAATTTATCAACTGTTTTATTCAAAGGAAAATTTCACAGTGTTGCTATTCCCTGAAAGTTGCTTTTCTTTTCCCCTCCAAACAAAAACATTTAATGGGAAGATAGTTTCATTTTTGTCAAAAGTAATATTATTAAGTTATTCAATGAATTTTTTGCTGTTTAATCTTATTTGAGTTGACATTAAAAAGAAAATATATAAATCTCAGAATTGCATTCTTTTAATTTTTCCAGTAAACAACATCAAGTATACACAAGATGAGAAGTGGATCTATTTCACACTATATTACAGACCTTAAATTTCTGTGTTATTTTGAAAATGGGAATGTTTCATTAAAAATTGATAGCTTTTCTGCAACTCGTTAGATACATTGCAAATCAGATCACAGTAAGAAACCTGAAGGTGAACAAATTACATACTTGCAGAAAAATCAAAATTCTAGGTTGCATAACAGGGAAAATGGCTTCTGAAATACTCAGGGAAAAAAATCCAATCATATTTAATATAATTTTATGAGGATGCAGTCAAGAATTTGAAAGCTTTTTCTCCACATAACTGTTTACTTGCAGCAAGACTTTTGATTTTCTGGAAATCATTTAAATGTACAATTTTGCCTGCATGGTAAATAAGAACGAAGAGTTGTAATTCTGACAGTGTTCATAGAACTGTTATTTCCAAAAGAAAATCTGTCCAAGAATTTTAATATGTTTCATTGCAACAGAAAATAAATGTTGAACTTAGGAAATGTAATGCTGTACATTATTGAAAATAATTCTGATAAAAATGAAATTGAGTGTGCATAAAATTAATTTGAAAAAGGAGCACTAGACCTGTGAGACAAGTCCATTCTTTCTCCAGTCTGTAAATCTGATCAAAACTGCTTTATTGACATGATTCCTACACCTTGATTAAAATTATTACCCCAA